GTGCACAGACAATCATAACTTCCTTAAAGGGAAAGTGCACAGACAATCACAACGTCCTTAAAGGGAAAGTGCACAGACAATCACAACGTCCTTAAAGGGAAAGTGCACAGACAATCACAACGTCCTTCCCAAGCTCGCATTATACTACTGAAAATAACTTAGTAGAGAATTTACTCTCAGTGTGTCTACAACAGAGGAATTCAAATCTGTGGGTAATGGGAAGTAAAACAGCTCCTTTTAAAAGTCTACCAACTGTTGATGTTGTAGAAATTGAATAAGGCAATGAACATGAGCAAAGTTAATGCTATCTACTCATACATGAAGCTTACACTCCAGTCTCTCCACCTCTACAAAATAGAGGCAGGCTCTTTAACAAGGCAGAAGGGTCCCTCATAAACATCTAGTACTCATCCCAGATCTTCACCAGCCAATCATCAACTGCAGAGGTTGTAGTAACTCAGAGCACGGGTGCTGTGGTATTGCTTGCCTTTGCCCATGCTCTTCCTTCTCTCTAGAATGCCTTCCCATTATCAGAATTCATCCTCCCCTGCCTGGTTAACTCCAACTTGTTATTTGTGGCAGTAACTTTAAGATAATACTGGCCAGAAGCAGTGGGCTGTGTTCCAGGCATCCAGTTGAAGAGAGGCTTGCGGGATTAATTAAGCAAGGAGAGTCAAGATTATGATAGGAAAACCCACAGAGACAGCTGACCTGAACTTGTGGGTGCTCATGGACTCTAGATGGAGAGCTAGGGAGCTGGCATGAGACTGACCTAGGCCCTCTGCATCTGGATGACAGTTGGGTAGCTTGGTCTTTTTGCAAGCATTCCGCTAGCAGTGGGACCAGGACCTGTTCCTGATGCAAGAGCTGACTCTTTGGAGCCTATTCCCTATGGCAGGATGCCTTGCTCAGCCTTGATGCAGGGATGGGGAAGGCCTTGGTCCTGCCTCAACTTGATATGCCATGATTTGTTGATTCCCAAGGGAGACCTTACCTCATCTGAAAGGAGACAGAGGAGGAGTAAAGGGGGGAGCTCAGAAGGTAGGTGGAGGGAGGGAATGGGAGGAAAGGAGGGAGGGAAAACTGGTTGGTATGTAAAATGAATATATAAAAAGTTAATTTTAAAAAGGAAGAAAATGCTGGCTGGGTGTAGCACACATGTGATCTCAGCACACAGGCCAGAGGAGCGTGAGCTAGGATGACTGGGGACAGAGGCCAATCCAAGCTAAACAGTGAATCTCTATTAAAGAAAAACCCAAGGTCTAGGAGATACAGTTTAGTGGCAGAGCAAGTCTCTAGGTTTGATCCCCAGTCTGAGGTGGGAGAAAGTGGAGAGAGGGAAGAAAAAAAGACACAGGGAAGACCCTTTAAGGAACTCTAATGTCAAGTTGATAGCATAGGCCCCTGCACCTCGCATCTATCCCAGGCCTGGTCTGGACTCCAAATCCCAGCAGGCCAGGTTCTGACCCCTCCCTTGGGGTGGGGTCAAGACCACTCCCCAGGGTATTTAAGTGATCCCCCAAAAGAGGAACATGTGGTCTCCCTTTCTTTCTCCTGGAGGTTGTGTTTTTGTGGCTTCCCAGTTCCCCCTCAGGGCCACCCGAGAGCGCAGATCTCCCATTAAACCTGGATATTTCTTAATTTGGCTTGTTTTGATTTGGCTTGATTGGGAATTTTTACGTCAGCAGGGAGCTCACGTTAAGAAATATTCCTAACATCTACCATCTACTGGCAGCAAATAGTCTCAAAGATGCACTTATAGGAGATTTAATCCTATAAGCCAGCATCTTCAGTTCACTTGACTTTTGTGGTCTAACTTCCACATATTCTACTGATTTTTCTCTTTTCTATTTAATTTTTTCATATAATATACTTTGATCATGTTTCCTTTCAATGCTGCCAGATCCTCCACACCTCCCTACCCACCCAACTTTATATTGTTCTCTCTCTCACTCGCTTGCTTGCTCTCACTCTCTCTAACACAGAAACACAAAGATGACTTGTATTTGCTTAATATGAACTTTCAGCATAGGAGGTTCACGTTCGTTTTTATGGCCAGTGAAAGAGCTGGGGTGGGAGACCTCACACCAAACTCTCCTAGCACCCTGATAAAAATCTAAGCCTTAGTTTCAGTTCACTAAAATGGGACAGAGCTAAACAGACAGTCCTCAGAAAAACCACAGCCGTCTGCTGGCTCAGCAAGCACCATCCCACCTCTCACCCGCCCCAACACACACACCATCCCCACTGTCCCCACTCTCCATCCCCACCAGTCTCCTGATAACTAAAGAGAGCTTTCCCGACCCTGCTGCTGGAAGGTCCCTAACCATTAGGACCTCCCACCAATCAGCCCCCAGACTAATCTTTCTTCCTCCAATCAGCCCCAGGTTAATCCCTCCTCTCTGGAATTCCCCTAACCCTGCTTCAAAGGAGCTTGTGACCTTCTTTGGGGGTCACCAAGTACCACTCCAATGTTGGAATTAATAAAGTGCTCTTGTTATTGCATGCATAGCTGTTGGTCTTTCCTTGGGTGGAGGAGCTTCTCTCGGACCCTAGCAGCCAGTTCAGTAAGAACAACCTATCTTTCTCGTTGACCTAAAGATTAAAACTAGAAGGGGTACTGTTCTAGAGATGTTGTCTGTGGGTGACCCACGCATCCCTTACTGCTCCAGGTGACTACATTAGCCAGTCGATTCTTATTTAGCACCCAGAAGACATGAGAGTAAAAAACAGATCAGCTTTCTCCACGTAAAAATTGTCTTTGTATTATGTTGCTAGTTGGGCTGTCATATAACCAAGAGGAAAAGAACATTTCACTGATGTCTTGAAAAGGTAAAGATGACACAGATGGTTGTTACACTGAACCTTACTCAGAGGTGGTTTCATCTTTGGGAAGCTTTGTTCCAGTAACAGTGATGCTTAAAGATCAGCAAGGCCTAGAACTGAAAGCTGTTGGTGACTGGGCTTTCAGATGAATACCTTGAAGGGAGCCTACTTGATGATAGCATCTACTTTAAAGCCTTAGAATGACAGGCTGTACTCAGTGGTACACACCGACAATCTCAGCATTTAGGAGGCTGGGACAGAAGGATTGTGAATGAGCTCCAGTCCAGTGGGGCTACACAGCGAGACCTTGTTTTTGTTCATTAGTTGCAGAAATACAGTGTACAAAATGAAGAGTCTCATTTATGTGGTTCTGTAAGATTATTCAAATGAATATGTCCTCCTCTATTTAATTTATTACCTTAACCATTTGAATGTTTTGTTTCTTTTTTATTTTACTTTTAATGCTTTGTTTGTTTGAGACAGGGACTCAACTCTTTAGCCCTAGATGGCCTGGAACTTGCCATGTAGACCAGGCTAGGCATAAACTCACAGAGATACACCTGCCTCTGCCTCCCAAGAGCTGGGACTTTAAGCATGTGCCACCATGATGAGTCTGAGTATTTTTGTTCTTTTAAAACAATATTTGGATATTTTGTTTTCATTTTTAGTTATTTAATATGTATTTTGAACTAATGTAACTTTTAGTATACAGCATTTCATTTAATATTTACAATAAAAAAAAGCACTTACTATTCCCACCTTACAGCTAAGCAAACTAAGACTTTGGAGGGTCTGACTTTGCCAAAGAGGTGGAATATAGCTGGCGGTACAGTACAATGGTAGAGCATATGTCTAGCATATGTAAAACTTTGGCTACCAGGCCAAGTATAAAACAATAACTTCTAATCACACACAAAACCACTGTGGCTGGTTATTTAGATGGGCTCTTTTTCCATGCCAAGTATAAAACAATAACTTCTAATCACACACAAAACCACTGTGGCTGGTTATTTAGACGGGCTCTTTCCCATGCCGATTGTAGAGAACAGTCTTAGCAGTTCGCAGGAGCCAAACACCATATCTTACCAACTACGACTATCTCATGGCCCTTTGTCAGCTGGCATCCCAGACCTCTCAGCTTAGCATAAAAAATAGGACAGCCATATTAATAAAAATTTTTCATGAATTTTGTATATGCAAAAGAGACAGTCAAGCAATTAAGAGCACTGGTTCTTTCAGAGGACCTGGGTGTGATTACCAGAGCGCATATGATGGCTCCTTCCAGGTTCCCATAAGCTGTGCCCTCTTCTGACCTTGGGCAGTGGACAAGCACATGGTGCACAGACATACATGTGAGCAAACACTCACATATAGAAGATAAATTTAAATTGAAACATTTTAAAGCAAGTGAATATGACTAAATGACTGACAGAATCAACAGTAAACTGAATAGAGTTTCTGAAAAATATTTCAGGGGCTCAAATTTTTCTTTTTCTTTTTTTTATAAAAATCTTTGCTGTGCTCCTAGATGTCTGAGATTAAAGGACACTGGGGATGGTGGAAAGCTACAATCAATGCAAAATATCAGTGGGGGGAGGCTGTCTCTCATCATCATCACTATGTATGAACGTGCAGGCCATGGCTCACATGTGGGGGTCAGAGAACAGATTTCCAGATTCTATCCCTTTACCATGGGTGCAGGGATCTAATTCAGTCTGTCTGGCTTGCATCCATTAGCCTACTGAGCCATCTTGCCAGCCCGATCATGATGTTTTATGTGTTGGTATACTAGGTTCTTCCTGAGAATAATTTTACAAAGCAGTGTATGGTGCGGGAGAATTGTCTGTATTCTGTCAATCATGTATTTTAATAAAACGCTGATTGGCCAGGCAGGAAGTATAGACAGGTCAACCAGACAGGAAGTAGAGGTGGGGCAAAGAGAATAGGATTAGGCTAGGGAGGAGGAAGCTCCCTCTGCCATTCCTGCCCAGACCACCAAAGAAGCAGCATGTGAGCTGACAGCTGGAAAAGGTACCAAGCCATATGACTAGCATAGATCAGAATAATGGGTTACTATAAGCTATAAGAGTTAACAAGTAGTCTGACCTAATGGGCCAATCTGTTTATAACCTAATGTAGACTCTGTGAGATTTTCTTTGGGACTTGCCAGCTGTGGGGTACTGGGTGGGACAGAAACCCCAACAAGCCGGCCCTCATGTTACAAGTGTAGAGGCTAATAGGAAATGTAGAAAGGGGTGGGAGAGTTACAGTTCTCTGTGAGCTCTAACTTACGTATCTGTGTAAATAGTGGCAGGAGCTGAGTACTAAACAGTGAAGCCAGCACTCTATCTTGTAGAAGCCAGCAGCAAAGCAGCCAGTTGGCGGATGACTACCGTTTTCCTCCCTTCCTTGCAGGTATGTTTCTTACCTTACTGAACTGACCAACAACGTGTTTCAGAATATTAGGAGGTGCATCATACAAAAATGGCTCGAGGGCTGGGAGGTAGGTGCATTTTTGAAGAATATTCTTTATGGCTTTTTTACTCTGTTGAAAAACAAAGCAAAGTGCATATAAAATCTTAACAATTCATAGCCTATATTCCTACTGAAAATGGAACCAGTTTACTGGCGTAATCTGAAGTTGTAACAAATAGTTACATGAAAAACTTTTGACTGGTTTTTAATGATAGAATATCTTAGCAATTATCTTTGTGTTAAATCTTAAAAGATAAAGTGAATTGTTAAGTTTTTAAAATATCTATGAGAAAATTAAAATTATAAAGTATAACATTATAGGATATAATTTGTCATACATTACATAATTATATAGACAATGAACTACAGTATATAAAGTTATAGATATGAAACAGGTAACTAAAATATTCTAATTTTTAATCAATAAATATGATAAAATATCTATTATGCAGTGCCATTCTTAGATACATATGCATTCAGAAGTATCTATTGTGAGCATTTATAGAGATGCAGTCAGGTCACAGGTAGACATTTCCTCCTCCTCAAGGAGAAGCAAAACACAACTCCCAACACCAGGGATGGCAACACCAACCACAAAAGGACAAGCACTCAGGTGACACCATGTGGTGCATCCCCTGGACAAGCAGGTGACTGGAGGGCCTGTGCTGACCGTAGTGTGCCGCAGCTCACTCTGAAGCTGCTGACCGCGTTCTTTTGTTTCTCTTCCACACAGCAGGGCTTCAGCTGTTTTCCTGAGAAATGCACCCCTTGCGCTGCCGTGAAGCTATGTGTCCTAGTGCACAGACTTCCTTTCTCTTGAGCCTTCCAATCTTGTTATTGTTTAGTAAATGCTCTTGAAATGACCATTTCACATCACAAATTTTGTAATTGGATTCTACAAAACTTTTACCATATATGTGGCAGCAGTAAATGATCTCTTGAATCTTAGACTTTTCTTTAGACACCCAAACGAAGCAGACTTGTACAGCCTTTTATATTTTAATTCACATATTAAATAAGATGTAAGAAATTCAATCCGACATTTCCCCAACAAGTTTTGTAAGCTTAAAATAAACTCTCATTTCAGCAATATTACTATATTGTTGTAGTGGTTTGGATGTGAAATGTTCCCCCATAGGCTCAGGCATGTGAATATGTTTCCCAGTTGGTGGTGTTATTTGGGGAGGCTTAGAACCTGTGCCCCTTGCTGGAGCAATGGTGGCTCAAAGCTTGTAGGAGTGGCCAAGCAATGACTAGTGAAGTCCACACCCAAGATTGCCTGGATGGCCAGCAACAGGAAGCTGGACGACCTAGAGACATAAGGTAGAACCAAACATGACTGGTCAAAAAAAAAAAAGTCAATCATTCTTAACGCTATTCTGTTATACTCAGAGATCAGTGCCTAGCCCAACTGTCACCATAGAGGCTTCCTTCAGCAGCTGATGGCTCCATAGTTAAACATTACACAGAGTTCAGCGAACCCTGCAGAAAAGGGAGGAAGGATTGTAAGAGTCAGAGGGTCAAGAGCACCAGGAGAACACCATCCACACAATCAACTAAGCAGGGCTCATAGGGGCTGACAGAGACCGGAGCAGCAATCACAGAGCCTACACAGGTCTGGGCTAAGTCCTTTGCACAGAGGTTGTAGTTGTTTAGCTTAGGGTGTTTCTGGGACTCCTGACGGTGGAAAAGGAGATGTCCCTGATTCTTTTGACTGGTCATGGGACCCTTTTCCTGCTACTTGGTTGCTCCATCCAGCCTTGATATGAGGGCTTGTGCCTAGTTTTATTGTATCTTGTCATGCCATGGTAGGTTGATATCCCCGGGAGTCTGCTCTTTTTGAAGGAAAGTGGATCTGGGGGAAAGGGAATGTGGGAGAAGAACTGGAAGGAGTGGAGGCTGCAGTCAGTATGTACTGTATGGGAGAAGACTAAACAAAAAGAAAAAAGAAGGTGTGGCCTTAGTGCAGGAAGCCCAACACTGCTGGTGGGTAGGATGGGATGTTTATAGACTACCAAAGTTGAACCAAGACCAGGTGAACAATCTAAATAGACCTGTTAGTCACAAAGAGTTAGAAGCTGTTATCAAAAATCTCCCTACCAAAAAAGCCCAGGACCAAATGGTTTCAATGCAGAATTCTACCAGAACTTCCAGAAAGAGCTAATACCTATACTCCTTAATGTATTCCACAATATAGAAACAGAAGAGTCATTGACAAACTCTTTTTATGAAGCTACAGTTACCTTGATACCAAAACCACACAAAGACACAACCAAGAAAGAGAATTACAGGCCAATCTCACTCATGAACATCAACACGAAAATTCTCAATAAAATACTGGCAAACCGAATCTAAGAACACATTAGAAAAATTATCCATTATGATCAAGTAGGCTTCATCCCAGAGATACAGGACTGGTTCAACATACGCAAATCTATCAATGTAATCCATCATATAAATAAACTGAAAGAAAAAAATCATGATCATTTCATTGGATGCTGAAAAAGCATTTGATAAAATTCAACACCCATTTATGATAAAGGTGTTGGAGAGACTGGGGATACAAGAATCATACCTAAATATAATAAAAGCAATATACAGCAATCCGACAGCTAATATCAAATTGAATGGAGAGAAACTCAAAGCCTTTCCACTAAAATCAGGAACACGACAAGGCTGTCCACTCTCTCCATACCTCTTCAATATAGTGCTTGAAGTTCTAGCAAAAGCAAAAAGACAACATAAGGGGATCAAGGGGATTCGAATGGGAAAGGATGAAGTTAAACTTTCGTTATTTGCAGACAATATGATAGTGTACATAAGCGACCCCAAAAACTCTACCAAAGAACTCCTACAGCTGATAAACACCTTTAATAATGTGGCAGGATACAAGATCAACTCCAAAAACTCGGTTGCCCTCCTATACACAAAGGATAAAGAAGCAGAGAGGGAAATCAGAGAAGCATCACCTTTCACGATAGCCACAAACAGCATAAAATATCTTGGGATAACTCTAACCAAGGAAGTGAAAGACCTATTTGACAAGAAATTTAAGTCTTTGAAGAAAGAAACTGAGGAGGATACCAGAAAATGGGAAGACCTCCCCTGCTCTTGGATTGGGAGAATCAACATAGTAAAAATGGCAATTCTACCAAAAGCAATCTATAGATTCAATGCAATCCCCAACAAAATTCCATCAAACTTCTTCACAGACCTTGAAAGAACAATAATCAAGTTTATATGGCAAAACAAAAAACCCAGAATAGCCAAAACAATCTTATACAATAAAGGAACTTCTGGAGGCATTACCATCCTTGACTTCAAACTCTATTACAGAGCTACAGTATTGAAAACAGCTTGGCATAAGAACAGAGAAGCAGACCTATGGAATCGAATAGAAGACCCGGATATTAACCCCACAAACCTATGAACACCTAATTTTTGACAAGGGAGCTAAAGGTATACAATGGAAGAAGGAAAGCATCTTTAACAAATGGTGCTGGCATAACTGGATGTCAACCTGTAGAAGAATGAAAGTAGATCCATATCTATCATCATGCACAAAACTCAAATCCAAATGGATTAAAGACATCAACATTAATCTGTCCACTTTGAACCTGATAGAAGAGAAAGTGGGAAGTAGTCTACAAGATATAGGCACAGGAGGCCACTTCCTAAGTAGAACCCCAGTAGCACAGACAATAAGAGAATCAATGAATAAATGTGACCTCCTGAAACTGAGAAGTTTCTGTAAAGCAAAGGACACTGTCATTAAGACAAAAAGGCTACCTTCCGACTGGGAGAAGATCTTCACCAACCCCTCATCAGACAAAGGTCTGATCTCCAAAATATACAAAGAACTCAAGAAACTAGACACTAAAACTCTAATTGACCCAATTAAAAAAGGGGGGAGGAACTTGGACTTCCCACAGGGCAGGAGACCCAGACTGCCCTTGGGGACAAAGAGGGAGGAGGAGAGGGAGGGGGGGAGTGGGAGGGCGTTGGGAGGAGGGGCGTAAATGGAAACTTTTTATAATTTAATAAAATTACTTTCAAAAAAAATAAAATAAAAATAAAAATAAAAAATGGGGTACTGACCTGAACAGAGAATTCACAACAGATGAACTTCGAATGGCCAAAAGACACTTAAGGTCATGCTCAACCTCCTTAGCGATCAGGGAAATGCAAATCAAAACCACTTTGAGAAACCATCTTACACCTGTCAGAATAGCTAAACTCAAAAACACCAATGATAGCCTATGCTGGAGAGGATGTGGAGTGAGGGGAACACTCATCCATTGTTGGTGAGAATGCAAACTTGTGCAGCCACTGTGGGAAATCAGTGTGGCGGTTTCTCAGGAAACTGGGAGTCAACCTCCCTCAGGACCCAGCAATTCCACTCTTGGTAATATACCCAAGAGATGCCCTATCATACTACAAAAGCATTTATTCAACTATGTTCATAGCAGTACTATTTGTAATAGCCAGAACATGGAAACAACCTAGGTGCCCCTCAATAGAAGAATGGTTTAAAAAAGTGTGGAACATATACACATTAGAGTTTTACTCAGCGGTAAAAAACAATGACATCTTGAATTTTGCATGCAAATGGATGGAAATAGAAAACGCTTTACTGAGTGAGGTAACCCAGACCCAGAAAGAGGAATATGGTATGTACTCACTCATAAGTGGATTCTAGCCATAGTTAAAGGTCTTGGAGTCTATAATTCGTGATCCTAGAGAAGCTAAATAAGAAGGTGAACCTGAAGAAAATCATATAGTTATCCTCCTGGATATTAGAAGTAGACAAGATTGCCAGGCAAACTTGGGTGCACGGGGGCTGGGGGTGGAAGTAAGGGGAGATGGTTAGGGAGAGGGGAGAGTGGGAGGATTGGGGATGGCTTGGGGGAATGGGAGGGGGGAGGGAGGAAGGATGTTTATGGGAGCAGGGAAGTTTATATATCAACTGAGGGGGCCATTTTAGGGTTTTCAAGAGACTTGGTTCTGGAGGGGTTCCCAGGCCCAAGGAGAGGTCCCCAGATTGTTCCCTGGGCAGCAGAGGAGAGAGTGCCTGAACTGGCCTTGGCCCATAACCATACTGATGAATATTTTGCATGTCACCACAGAACCTTCATATGGCGAAGGATGGAGATAGAGACAGAGACACATATTGGAACACTGGACTTAACTCCCTAGGTCCAAATGAGAAGCAGAGGGAGGGAGATCGTGAAGAAGGAAAGCAGAACCAGAGGGAACCTTCATCCGACGATGGATGGAGATAGAGACGGAGATCCACATTGGAGCACTGGACTGAGCCCCCGAGGTCCAAATGAAGAGCAGAAGGAAGGAGAACATAAAAAAGCAAGTCAGGACTGTGAAGGGTGCGTTCACCCACTGATACAAGGGGACTGATCGAATGAGAGCTCTCCAAGGCCAGCTGGACTGGGATTGAATGAGCATGTGATCAAACCGGATTCTCTGAATGTGGCTGACATGGGGGCTGACTGAGAAGCCATTGACAATGGCACTGGGTCTGGTTTCGTCTGCATGGACTGGCTTTTTGGGATCCTGGTCTGTTTGGATGCTCACCTTCCTGGACCTGGAGGGAGAGGGGAGGAACTTGGATTTCCCACAGGACAGGAAACCCTGACTGCTCTTGGGAATGGTGAGGGAGGAGGAGAGGGAGTAGGGGGAGCGGGAGGGTATTGGGAGGAGGGGAGGAAGTGGAAATTCTTTAAATAAATAAATAAGGAGAAAAAATAAAAAGAAAAAAACTACGTTGTAAAAACATCAAAGTAAAAAAAAACCACCTATGAGTGAGTACATGTGATACTTGTCTTTCTGTGTCTGGGTTACCTCACTCAAAATGCCAAAATGATATTATACAGCAAAATAATAATAATAATAATGACATCAGGATCCTTTTTGGGTAGAGGGTTAGATACAAGGTTTCTCTGTAGCTTTGGAGCCTGTCCTGGAACTAGCTATTGTAGACCAGGCTGGCCTCAACCTCACAGAGATCTGCCTGCCTCTGTCTCCTGAGTGCTGGGATTAATGGCGTGCACCACCACCACCCGGCTTAACCAAATGTCAAACTAAGATAAACATTTAATGTTGATGCCTCAAAACAAAATAAATGAAAATAGACAAGTATGTTCATAACATGTATATAAGCTCATCAGAATACCTTAGTTTTTATTCAAGTGTTTGGAATGGGAAAGGAGCGGGCAAAAAGTAATATTATGTGACAGCATGCTAACAACTGCTCTCCGATTCTCCCAGATTAGATTCAATTATGGATTAAGCAGTGTTTATAGCAGTGATTGTGTTCGTTAGTTTTATGTCAACTAGACACAGCTAAAGTCTTTTGGGAAGAGGGATCTTCAATGAGAAAAGTGGTTCTACATGATTAGGTCTATAGGCAAGTCCATGGGGAATTTCCTTGATTGATAATAGATGTGGGAGGACCCAGCCCATTGTGGGTGGTGCCAACCCTAAGCGGGTGGTTCAAAATTGTAAAAAAAAAAGGAAAAAAAAGCAAGCCATGAAGAACAAAATAGTAATCAGGGCTCTAACATGCCTTCTGCTTCAGTTCCTGCCTCCAGGTTTATACCTTGGACTCTCTGGACACAATGAGCTATGACCCAGAATAGATAAGCCAAATAAAGCCTTTCCTCCCTGAATTGCTTTTGGTCCCATTGTTTTATCACAGCAAAAGAATCCGTAACTAAAATAGTGGCATGCCTTTGAGCCAAAATGAACTTTAGCATAGCCTTCTAGTTTGCCAGAATGACAGATGAAAATACCACAAGACAGTTCTTAATGTTTTCAGATCCACTTTTCCCCAGTGTAGTAGTGTCAAATCAAGCACAGTTGACCGAACTCCATCCTAAATCTATAAAACAACAGTTGATATAATCCAAGAGACCTTAGAGAAGGGGAAGGAGAATGGTGGATCCCTACAATAAGATGCTCAGAGGAATTGAAGTCTGAGGAAGATTTTGCAGTATTAACATCAGGACTGACAAAGGACAGTTTTTCAGTTTAAGATATAGAGAAGCTACTAAAAGCAATTAATTAATTTATAGTAAATAAGACACATTTGATAAACTAAAACACATTAGGAAGGAAATCTGGGGCTGATGAGATAGCTCAATGAGTCAAGATACTTATTGCCAAGTCTGAAAACCTGGGTTCAATCAGCAGGGACCCACATAATGGAAGGAGAGAACTAATTCTCACATGATGTCTTCTGGCCTTCCCAAGTATACCATGGTATGCGTGTGTGCACAAATACACACATGCTCAAACAATCAGATAAACATAATGAAATTTTAATAAAATAGCATGAAAATAATACTTCATAGGAAATACCAACAGAAATATAGTCTAAAAACATTAATTTTATAAACAACTTGATATCTTTAGAGAATGTCGTTCTGAAACACACAACTAATCCATTTTTAAAGGAAAGTGATCTCAATTCTTTTGATAAATTTCTATTTCTTTTTTCAAGATAGGGTCTCTGGTAGCACATCTTGGCCCTAGAGTCACTCTGTAGCCAAAGATGGCTGAACGCGTCCCCTCTTCCTCTATCTTTGGAGTCCTAAGATTATAAGTGTATACCACCACACTTGATTTTAAATTTGTATTTCTTGATTTAGAAAAATCATATTATCCATCAGAAAATTAAGACTTTAAATCACATGTTAAGAAAAAACTAGTGGGCTGGAGAGATGGCTCAGTGGTTAAGAACATTGCCTGCTCTTCCAAAGGTCCAGAGTTCAATTCCCAACAACCACATGGTGGCTCACAACCATCTGTAATGATGTCTGGTGCCTTCTTCTGGCCTGTAGGCATACAAGCAGACAGAATACTGTATACATAATAAATAAATAAATATTTTTTAAAAAGAAAAGAAAAAAACTAGTTCTATCTAGCACATCTTTCCAAACCATAAAGGCTAAACACTCACTTTCACCTGCAAGTCCTCGGAGCTCTCTGGAGACATGTACAAAGAAAGCAGAACTGGCAGAGTGTTTGTGACCGCAACAGCTCTGGCATGCTCTGGCGTGTGTCTTCCCAGCTGTCCTAAAGCCCAGGCGGCAGCAGCCTTAATGTGATCTTCTGGTTCTTCTGAGAGGCAGATTGATAACTGGGGTACACCCTGCCAGGGACCCAAAGAGCGAGTGTTATATGTAAATCTAGAGCGGACATCAAAAGAAGGCATATTGACCTTCATCCCTTTCTCCCAAATGACTCAAGAAATGGGCACATCATAAAGCTTGCTGCCATTTAAGCCAACTAACTGGCTAGAACCAACCTGTATTAATTATCTGTAACAAGCTAACTTAACTATCCTTGTATCTCTAATAGCTTTTACTTCCCAAATGCTACTGTGATCAACTAAAACTATTTAGGATCATAAAACCTTTCTTTTTTTCTTGTTTAAAAAGTTAGCAAAGGGGGCCTGAAGAGATGATCCAGCACTTAAGAGCACTTGCTGTTTTTCCAAAGGTCCTGGATTCAATTCCCAACAACCACATGGTGACTCAACAGCTATCTACAGTGAAATCTGATGCCCTCTTCTGGTGTGCAAGCATACATGCAGATAGAGCACTCGTGTACAAAACATAAATAAATCTTTTTAAAAAGTTAACCAAGGACTGAGGATACAGCCAAGAGCCCTTGCCTAGCATTTGTGCAACCCTGGGTTCAATCTTCATCAGTACACACACACACAACATTAATTTATTTTTACCAATCACAGTAAATCTGAAAGCAACATGATGGAGTAAAATTTTAATAATATGAGCAAGTGGAATATGCCCCATTAATATGTTTCTTGAAGTAACGCATATTTATTTATTTATTTTGGTCAACTTAATTACATCTTTGCTCATCCTAACAAGCTTGAATGCCTAAGTAGGAATGAATCCTTTTGTTAAACTAGTAGAATATGCTTATACTTTATATCATAAGCATTAATGTTAACTAAACGGTAAAAACATGACTACTTAGAAAACCTCAAATATATCACAGCTTATGTATCAAAGGAAAGCAAATCAAATTCTAATTCCAGACTCTTGGTGAGCATATTTTCTAATTTGATACTATAGTAATTACCCCAAAGTCAGTACCCAAAAAAATCCTCTCAGTATCAGAAGGCCATGACACCAGGCAAAGGTTAAAATTATTAGGTTGCAGTTCAATTTCCTAAGGAGACCTACCATATTGTTTCATTTGTTCCTTTCCTACAACTGCGTATTTTGTCCACTAATATATATACTTAACAGATAAACCAGATAACAATAGCTAAAGGTGGTAATAATTATTGTCATTTTCCCCACGCTTTCTCCAAGGTTTACTCTAGGAAATAGACTAACAAGCACTGAATTCAACAGTGAACCAATCGGGAAAATGGGTGATTTTTTTTTTTTTTTTTTTTTTTTTTTTGCTCTGCTCAGTTAGATTTTCTCTTCTGATGGAGAACATCAATTTACCATTCCACCATAGAACAGCTGACTACGCCACCGTAAATGAAGAACACACACCTTGGAAATGATCACTGCCATGGCCAGGTTCTCAGAATGAGCAGCCACATAACCCAGCAACATGATGCCAGGCAGCCGTATGTTCCCTTTGCACGATCCGATGCAGTCAATCACAGCAGCCACGCCTCCTGCATTAACAATCAGCTGTGACAGCTGAGGAAAAAAGCCCAGATAACACAAGATGATCTTTAAATATGGCTTGACCACACTTTATTTAGGACTTAAAATACAACTGACAAAATTGAACTATGACGTAGAGAAACTCTTGGACTTCCTAAAGAAATGCACAAGTATAGCACTCTTGCTGTTTACAGATACAGGTGCTGTGAGAAACCTTATTCTGTGATTCACTTTCTTCACATCAGTGGAACAAGCTTTCCCTGTATAATGGATGTTAAAATCCTTTACCTAGAACCTAAAATTAGAGCTAGTTTATAACTATCTAATCACTCAGCTAATATTAATCACTGAAAACTCCGACATTAGAAAAGTCTAACCCACTTGCCCCTTTGCTGACAACGACTAGTAAGCTGAGTATACTTTGATTATGGAAAGTCCCATGCAAATAAAGATAAATGAAACATGAGGACTAATGTGTAATAAAATTAAAACCGTTAAACAACACATGCACAGAAATGGTTAAAACGTCGGAATTGGCACGGGCTTTCTTTGTGTTTATTTTTTCCATGTATATCTACAGAACTGATACAAGCCAGGAGATCTCTGTGGTCTGAACCAACCTTGCTCCCAGCTGACACACAGTGACAGAGGCCCACAGCCCCTTACACCTAGACATGGAAAGCTAAAAGTGATTAGAAGCTGGGATTTAAATTCCAACTACATTAACATAACTCCATAGTTCTCAACTGGAGGGAATGTCACAACCTGCAGAACATTTAGCGATGGACAGAGAACTTTTTGATTGTCCCCACCTGGGAGAGGGGTATTGAAGCCATCGAGTGGGCAGAGGCCAGGAATACTGGCACTCACTAGAACTAAGTATATTGCATCTTGAAGCGTGATTTTCAGTTGTTTGATTGTTTGTTTTTACCTCAGGTGTATGTTTTGCAATCTCTCTAATTAAAGTGCAAGTGTTTTTCTTCACGTATTCATCTTTGTCCTTCAGACAGGTGAGTACAACCGGGAAAATCTCTGCTTCAACAACCATCTCTGCCAGATCCACCGAATGCTTTGCAATCTGACTGAGAGCAGAAAGGACCTGGCGCTGCCGAGCAAAAATAAAATGTAACATTAGACATTATATGAATCCAGTTGTGCACCTTAGAATTCAGAGGTTGTTTTAAAGGATTTATAATATTCCCAAGCAGTGCTGTTTTGGAAGGCATGAAGAAATTATGGGGAGCAGCTGAGGCATGGCATCGTGTGGCAGGGTCAGAATTACTGAAGACACCAGGAGAGGCCACCAGTGAAGGTGCAGCCTCAACGACAGTGGAGACGCCAGCACACTGGAACGACAAAGGACAGGGGCGGGTGTGGAGTGAAGCTGCCCTGAGCCTAGCAGACAAGCCGTGTGTGCTGCAGATGGCAAAACTGAGAAGTACCTGTGGAGAGCAGATCATGAGTGGACCAGAGATAGCAGGCACTGAGTTATACTGTTGGAGTTTGTTTTGCTTTAATCTGATGTGCCCTGGCTTTTCCATCTTGGAATGAGAGAAGTAAGTAACGTTTTTCACAGGATCTTTAACGAAACAGTGAAGTTTTAAAGTGTTGGAATTTCTAAAGATATGGGACTTTAGAAATTGTACTGTATTTATAATACATCAATATGTTATATTAATGTTAAATCTTGGGGGTGAACAACAAAGAAAAGGTTATGGTTTAGAGTGATGTGCTTATACATCACAGATACAAGTATGGAATATCATAGTTAGCTTCAGCTGTCAACTTGACACAAACCTGCAGTCACCTGGGAAGAGGGAACATTAAATGAAGAAGAGATTGGGTTGGCCTATGGACATGTCTGTGAGGCAGTTTCTTAGCTGCTAATTGATGTAGGAGGCTTCAACCCACTGTGGGCAGTGCCATCCCTAGGCAGGTAGACCTGGGTTGTATAAAAAAGGGGCAAGCCAGGAAAGCAGGCCAGTAATCAGCTTCTCTCTGGGGTCTCCATTCAGTTCCTGCCTCCAGTTTCCAGCCTTGAGCTCCTGTCCTGGTTTCCTTGATGATGGAATCTAACCTGTAAACTAAATAAACCCTTTCCCTCCACATTGCTTTGGTCATGGTGCTTTTTATCATAGCAGCAAAACAAATCCCAATCATATCTTTACTGTATAACCCTTATAGCATTATTTTCACATATTAAAAAGTCAACTACATATCTGTATGTTTTCAACTATATTTACTAATTCTTTTTACTATATAACATCAATACGTACATTTTTTCATTTTCTTAGACCATAAAAGCACCGGCTTGCCTGTCTCTTAACCTCATTTTTTATTACCTTCAATTTTGCATCAGGGTTGAGGATCATCTGGGCTAAGTGAGCAATCGCTCCCGCATCCACCACCGTCTGTGCTAACTCTGGAGAATGCTTTGAAATATCACTGAGAGCAGAGGCAGCAATCCTTTTCAAAGCAATTTCTGGCTCCTGGATACAGAGAACTAAAAGAGGAATTGCTCCTGCATCCACCACAGCTTGAGATAATTCTGTGGGTCCAAGAAAAGTTAGTGAGTACAGGTGGCTGACTCTTGGGCAAGCCATTTTCACACTGACAAGTACAGCAAATAAAAAGGATGAGGGTATATGTGACTCTCTAGACAGCTGCATTTTAAGTCAGTAGATGGCATAGGTGATCTACGTTTTTCTCACACACACCACATCTACCAGAGAGAAACAAAAAAAGAACTCCAAGCATGATTTGTATAATTCATTAATATAATATTCATAATTTCTGTTAATTATTGACCACTAGGCATGGTGATCAATACTCTTTAAAAGGTAAAGGAAGAAGTTTAGGAGTTCAAGGCAAGCCTCAGATACGTAGTAAGTCTGAGGCTAGCCTAGGCTACAAGAGGCCCTGGCTCAAAGAGAAAATCATAGTACACAGTTCAAACACTGGGCTTAAATCAAGCTGGAACTGACCTGGAAGCCTTGTACCTGAGGGCTAGCTCTCAAATATCAGAAGGTGCTATGTAAGCGGCCAAAGAAAAAGCAGTCAGCAGTGCCACCAGCTGTAAGTTTGTGAACCACAATAATGCCCAACTCGGCAAAATAGCCTTGATAGTGCAATAGCGGTACTGTTATCTTGTGGGTAACCAACAGCTATCTAATTGGATTTCAGGTCTGATCAATAGGATGGAATTTATGATAGGTACTGGAAACCTAAACAACTGGCACTGGCTAGAGAGGTTATAGACCCTAGACCCTACCACTTTCCTAAACCAATACAATCTATAGCTGTATTCTAAATACTTGTCCTTGGCAGAGATTCATGATTGGTCAAAATGCCAAGAAAAACTGACCAACCATTGGGCATCCAGTCCCAAATGATACATTCACAATGCAACTCCTATACCTGGGGCTCAGAGGGAAAAAAAATCACAGAAGGGGAGGGAGTAGAAGGCTTATAAGAGCTGCAAGATTGTTTCTTCTAGGCAAGCTGCACCCGTGAAACCTCAATGATACAGTTTCCAAAGCAAGACCTCCATAATAACAACACAAGCTGACATACCAAAATGGATAACAAAATATAAATCATCTTTTGTAAAATAATTATTTCTCTTTATACTCCCACACATTTTATCCTCTGCATGACCTAGTAGGGGTGGCTGCACATACAAACTCACAGAAATTATGACAGTCTTTATATACGAGACCTATGCAAACGTAGTCAAACCAAATCCCAACATTAGAGAGGAGGTAGACAAGAAGTCTCACCCCTAGCCAGGGAGCTATTGGCAATTGATAGCCTCTGGTGAGGCACAGTTGGTTTCCTTGTAGAATATATCTCCTAATAAGTTGACCATGCTCCAGTCAAAGGCCACACATACAGAAATATATGAGCAGTAGAAACTGGACATCAAGGATATATAAAAATAAAAGATAACATAGAGTTAGGTGGGTATTGTTGTGGAATATTAGTTGAAGATGTGTTACATTAGTTTATGCTGTGGAACATTTATTTAGTGATGCAAAGATGTATTATATTCTTTTATGTTACACTTGTCTATCTCTGTGAAGTTTTGTTTTTGTTTTTTTTTTTTTGCCTGTCTAAAATACCTAATTGATCTACTAAAGAGCCGAATGGCCAACAGATAGGTAGGAGAAAGAATAGGCAGGGCTGGCATATAGAGAGAATAAACAGAAGGAGAATAATGTGAGATTGGTGAGCGAGAAAAGGAGAAAGAGAGCAGGACATCAGGGGTCAGCCATCCAGCTACACAACCAGCAACAGAAAAAGAAAGGAATGAAGAAAAAGGAAGAAAGGAAAAGAGGGGGTGAGGGAGAAAGAGAGAGGAAGAGAAAGAGAGGGAGGGAGGGAAGGAGAGAGGGAGGGAGGGAAAGACAGAAGGAGGGAGCAAGAGAGGGAGGGAGGGAGAGAGGAAGGAAGGAAGGAAGGAAGGAATAGAATAGGGAAAGATAAAAGCTCAGAGGCAAAAAATAGATAGGGTAATTTAAGTTAAGAAAAGTTGGCTAGAAACAAGTCAAGCTAAGGCCAGACATTCTCAAGTAAGAAGAAGTCTCTGAGTGTTTATTTGGGAGCTGAGTAATGGGCCCCCAAAGAGCAAAGAGTAAAAAACCACCAACTACAGGATATGGAATGAAAGGTTGGTGGATCTGGGAGGAGTTCAAGGAAAGGGTGCATCTGATCAAAACACTTTGAATGAAATTTCCAAACACACACACAAAAAAATTAATAATAATAATAATAATAATAACTTAAGCATGAAAGGGTGTTTAACGATTCTTTTTAAAGATAATTTCAAGAATTTCTACTACTAGGGCTAAAGAGAGCAGCAAGCAGTTAAAAGGACCCAGGCTTCATTCCCAGCACCCACGTGGCAGCTCATACCATCTGTAACTCCAGTCCCAGGGGTTCCAACACTCTCTTCTGGCCTCTCCAGCACTGCACACATGTGGTGCACAGACACACAACAATCAAACACACAAAATAAAAATGAAGATGATTTTTTTAAATTACTAGTCCTGGAAAGATGGCTCAGTGGTTAAGAATGCGCACTGCTCTTTCAGAGGACCAGAGTTTGGTTCCCAGGACCCACATCATGCAGCTCACAATTTCAGATTTCAGGAGTCTTACACCCTCTTTCAGATTTCCATTGGCACCTACATATATGATATATACCCACACAGATATGTACATATACATAAAATTTTTAAGAATTAGTACTATATATTAGAAACATTCATTTATTCATACTTCTGTTGTTTTTATTAATACTCCTACATATTTTTAAAAGTAACCTTTTTAACATTTATTCAGTGTGTGTGTGTATGTGTGTGTGTATCTGTGTGTGTGTATGTGTGTGTGTGTGTATGTGTGTGCGAGCGTGTGCGTGCGAGTGTGCGTGCATGTGCCAAGAAAGACCTGTGGAGGTCAGGTGAAAGTGTAAATCAGTTCTCTGCTTTGACTGTGTGGGTTCTGGTGATCAAGTTTAGACTGTCAAGCTTAACAGCAACCTCTACTCTACCTGCCGGGTCCCAAAACATTACACATTTAAATGTTAAGAGTTACTCACTGTTACCATTTTTAGATGTCTTGGGGAATGGACTTTTATGCGTAATAATTTGAATCTGACAGCCAAGCGTTTTCAGCACAGGAATAGTTGACCCTAATTGTCCGCATCACTGTGAGTAGAGAACAAAGTCAGGCTACTCCTCCTTGAACTGCAGAAGTGTGAGAGGTGTGATCTTGATACACTTCTCCATCTCTGGAGCTTTCCATAATTGTTTCTAACAGAGCTGCAAAGCTGATAGGCAACAATTTTTAAATAATAGCAACATTTAAAACTGGGACAAATGAGTGTTTACTTCATAATGATTCTTAAAATGTCTGCTATTTGTGGGACCTGCCTGGAGTGTTTTTGCTTATTTGGTTCTTTTTCTAGCATACTGGTGCTGCACCGAATTGTACTGATTTTGCACCAACAGCTGTAAAGTGAAATGGATCGAAATCTTTAAATAATCAAAAATCACAGAATAAACTTAAGGTTTACAAAATAGAACAAGGATAGAAGGGAGGTCTTTGAAGATCAACCACATCACAAAGTTAGTTCCAGCACGAGATGGGTGGGACATTAGAATTGACTCAGTGTCTCACTCAGACGTCACAGAGGAGCTTTGTGGTAGTTGAGAACTAACAGAGACCCACAACTGAACAGTATGCAGAGACCTACAGACTTTGGAACACTGAGTCCCAAAGGGTGTGTCCTCATCAACCCACTCTCTTCAGGGCTTTGGGAGCTATGAGGAAGAGGAGGCAGGAAGGCTGTAAGAGCCAGAGGGGATGAATGGCTCTGATGAAAGAGTGTCTTCCATACACAACAGACTGCCACAATGTGAACTCTCAGAGACTGCGGCGGCACACACAGAGGTTGCATAAGTTCAATTCAATGGAGTTCTCACACTGAGATAGGGAAGTGAGCAAGAGCTCCCATCCCTAACCAAGAAGCTATCTCCAACTGTCATCTGCTTGCCAATGGAAACCCAGTTTTCTTCAATGGAGTCTCACTGGGATATAAACCATAATTAAGGGCTGGCCTCGTGCCCAGCAGTAGATGGCCAACCGGAAATGAACTCAATGCTATTTTTGTAGACTACTGTCTCATATTGCTTTGCTTGGGCATTTTTTTCCTTACTTGATTTCTGCTTGAATATTATGGTCTCCAATTTTGTGTTTTTATGGGTTTTGTGTGAGTTTCTTGTGCTTTTCTTTCTTTCCTTCTTCCTTTCTTTTTTTGTTGGTTCTGGTTTGTTTGCTTATTTGTTTGTTTTCTAAAGAGAGAGAGAAAGAAGGTGTGGAGTTGGGTGGGTGGGGATATCGGGAGGATCTAGGAGGATCATGGAAAGGGTAAACTATGATTAGAACATTTGGTATGAAAAAATGTTTTTAATAAAAAGAATATATGAAGAACTAACTCCTGTAGGCTGAAAAGAAAGAAAAAGCAGAGAAGAATGCCTCCATTGTACAACCTTGGATACAACTTTATGCTTTCCTTGAGGATAGATACTGGTCCTACTGCCAGGGGTCACACAAACAGACTAGGCTACACAACTGTCGCCCACATACAGAGGGCCTAGTTCAGTTCCATGTGGGATCCCCAGTTGTCAGTCCAGAGCCCGTAAGCTCCTGCAAGTTCGGGTCAACTGTCTCTGTGGGTTTCCCCATCATGATTTTGACACCCCCAGTCCCTCCCACACCTTGCTCAAATAATCCCTTCTCCCTTTCTTTGACTGGACTCCAATAGCTAGCTTCTCCTGGTGTTTGGCTGTGGATCTCTGTGTCTGCTTGCATCAGTTACTGGATGAAGGTTCATGATGATTAGGGTGATTACAGGGTGAGGTCAGTTTAGGTGCCTTTTCCACTATTGCTAGGGTCCTAGTTGGAGTCATCCTTGTGGTTTCCTGGGAATTTCCCTAGCATCAGGTTTCTCCCTAGTCCTATAATGGCTCCCTCTATCAAGATATC